GGAATCGATATTCTACCACTTTTTCCTCAATGTATCAAACCTGATAACATTACATTCTCTCAATATAATATTCTTCAACGACTTCCTTATGATGATAATATATTCGATTACGTTCATATGAGATTTATGGGGTCTTCGCTTACTCTTTCTGCTTGGGAATATGTAGTCAATGAACTTGTTCGTGTACTGAAACCAGGTGGATACATCGAAATTTGTGAATTTGATCATTACTGGGTGAACGAAGGTCCAAAAGCAAGAACGTTAAGATCTCAAGGTAAATTTCATAGTATTTCTTATTATTATATAATGTTTTAAAATAATTATTTCTAATAATAATCTAATCATAATCTAATATATTTACTTGTAAAAATAGTTGTCAAAGAACTAATTGGCCATTTCAACGTCTGTTTAATCGCAAGTCCCCTCGCCAGAAGGGCTTTACAAGGAAACGATCAATTATCAGATCTTCATCAAGAGAAAAAAATGATCCCTCTAGGTGGTTGGGGAGGAAAATTAGGCGAAATATTTTTAGAAAATATAAAGTGGTATGCGAGAAATTTAGATAAGGCTGTCGATTCCCTCGGTATGAGTAACGAAAAATATAATGGCTTAGTTAATTCTGCTATAACAGAAATAGAATCAAAAGGAAATGTTTATGATACAATTCATAGATTTTGGGCAAAGAAATTGTAGTATTACATAAATTGTTGAGCAATCTTAAACTAAATCATTTAGATATGTACATTCATTGACTACGTAACCGATATGTTGCTTCTGTCTTGTTAATAACGAAATAAATTAATATAATAACTTTTCTGCTGAAATGGGCTGAGTTGAGATTCCTATTTAAATCTATTACACCTAAAAATCCCGGTTCTGCTCACTTCATATCTTAGATTCGCTGCATGTTTATTTTAATGATTGAATTAGAAACAAGTTCATTTCATAGACTGTTCATTTCACAGGTAGCTTATTTTATAAACAGCTTATTTCGTAGTTTATTTTATAGACAACTTATTATGATTAGAGCTAGGATTATGTTAAGGGTTAGTGCAAGTTATATTAAAAAAACTTGTAAAATAATTTGGTAATAAAATTAGAAGATACTTTTTTTATTAACAACTTTATAAATTCTAATCTAATTATAAAAAAATTTTTATAATTTACAATAAAATAGATTAATTTAATATTAGCCAATTTTAGTTTTTTCCTCTAATTCGGCTATCCCGCCCTTGTTTATTTGGGATTAAGTTTTTCAAAAATACAATGATTCAAAGAATACATTGAATTCTATCCGTCAAGCATATAAATGCCAACACGATCTCAGTTTCCCCAACAGATCCTTAACTTACTAAGGACTTATTTCCCATAGGTTCCTTGACTGGCAGCTACTATACATGCTGACAAAAGTATTTTGGGGTCTAAAATTCGAAATTAAAATTTAATGAAATTGTTTTTGATCTATTTTACTTAAAAGACAACTCTTTTTTGAAGAGATGAAATTATAAGAAATATAACTACCTAATTTAGATTTGTTCTTGTATATAAAAAATTCTAATTTGCTTTAATGGAGATGAAATAGGTTTTTTTGAAAATCTATTTCAGTAGCATATATAGCAGCTATTCATTTATTAAGAAGCACAATAAGAAAGAAAACAGATACTAAAAAAATACAGAGGTATAGGGGCTATGATAAAAGATACAAACAAGAAAGAAAAGAGATAAAGGAAGTAGTGAAAACAAAACAAAAAAATTTTGTCTATCCTAATATTACAATTATAAGCCTGTAATTAGCTATTTTTAGTATTATAATTTTAGTACTTTAAGTAAAGGTATTTAAAACAATAAATTATTTAAAATTTTTTTTAAAGACTGTTTTTTATTTATAGATTATTGATTTTTATATATTTATTAAAATAGAATTTTGCTAATTATAACCAGTGTTTTATGAGATTTCTGTTACTTGACCAAGATAGATATCTTTAGTTGCGAATCACCTGATTTACACCCCAACATAAAGATGTTCAAAAATTGAATGTTAATCTAAATGATCTTATGTGAGTAAGCTTATGCATATTGTATATTTTTCTTCATCTCATGTCTTCATGGCCTTTTACACTGTAGTTAATAGATTAGTAAGAGTTGTAGTTAATATTAGATGTTAGAAAGATAAAAGAGTTGTATATTATAGCTGACGAAAACATATATAAAAGACCTTACCTTTTCACCTTAGTAGAAGTAGTATTTGATTTCTTCTTTTCCTTTTAATAATATAATTATTATTATATCCATTTATCTATTTATTATAATAAACCATGTCTTTATACATGTTAAATTAATTTGCATTATTAAGTGACTTAATGATCTGATCATGTGGCCATTGTAAAGAAACTTCATAATCATAACTTTACTTGTTAGATAAAATTTATATGGGCCGTGATTTGAGAAAAAGGATGAAATTGACAAAAAAAAAGATCTTTGGAAAATCAATTTTTATATTGTAAATCTTATAATAAATTATAAGAAAATACAAACTTTAAAGAGCTATACTGCAAAATTTTATTAATACAACTGCTTTTGTGTTTTAAGTGAAAAATGATTCTAACCTTATTTTAAATTGATTTATGTAAAAAAATATTTTTTGAAAAAATTGTCAATTTCGTCCCTTTTCTCAGATCACGGCCCATATTAACTCAAATACTTTCGAAGACATTGATGTTTGTAAGCTTACCTAATATACACCCTAAATACTGAGTATATCATATAATTATTACAACTATTTGTATTCTTATATACATTTAGTTGCTGTCTCTTTTAATAAAGCTTAGAAAACCTCTTTAATAAGTCATATATTCGATGCCTTTATCTAACTAAATTACAAGATTATAGTCTTTATATTATAAAAATGCTGTTTCTAAAACTACTATTAAGAGGTGTAGTTCAAGTGTAATACTGGTGATAATCATTACTAATATATAATTAGCTAATAAATTTGCATCAATTTGTGTAATAAAAAATAATTTTTTTTTATAAAATTGCTAATACCTTAAGAATTTACCTATGAAACTACTATCAGTTACAAGATATGTCTTTATACATAGGTTTTTATTGCTGTTACTTATGAGTTAAATAATTTGATATATTAAATTTTATATATAAATTTTTACAAAAAATCATTTATTTAAAAAAATATATATTACGCGGAGAACCATGATAAAAACGGTCAGACCCAACGCACTGGACAGACTATGACACTCTTTGTGGCTGTGAGAACCGAGCTTAAAATGGCGAGCGCCTCTGCAGAAGACTATTTGTCCAAATCATCATCAACATCTTTAAACTCCTATGACTTGGATGCATGCTACAACAAATATTTACTACATCATAAACTTCCTCTTTTTAAAGGACCTCAAACTCTTCAATCCTTTTACTCTCATCTCAATACTCATGCACTCCACCTTAAAAAATTCGCTGCT